TCACTTCTATCGCGTAACCTGGATTCTTCTTCAATCCTTAGGTGCTTTTGCAATTGTTCCAAAGAGTAATCCTCGGAACTATGTATAATTTTCTTCTGGTATCCTTTCCAAGTTCCCGGGAGTTTTGCTATTATAGCCCCCACTTGAAAGGTCTCCGGGATTTCAATCTTTACCGCCTTTAGTTTGTTGACAAAAAGACTTGCAACTCATGTTTTGGGGAAGTAGGGGAATATTTTCCAAAAATTTAAAATCAAAATATTTTGAAATTATAAATTTCTTTGTACCTTCTTCCTCTGCTTTGTATTTGCTTTCTAAAGCATTCCATATCTCCTTTGTCGAAGAAGTGTTGGTGTACAAATCATATAAACGATCTGAAAGAGCATTGAGTATGTGACCTCGACATATGAGTTCATCTTCTTGTCGTTTTTGCCTTTCTGCTCTAACTGTTTCGATTTCTCCATTGGTGGGTTCCGGTAATGGCGTCAATTCTGGGTCTAAGATATAGAAGATCTTCAATGCGGTGAGAAGAAACTTCAGTTTGTCTTGCCACCTTGTGAAATTTGTGCCATCGAACCGATCCAATCGAACCAAATCTTGATTCATCAATTTGATGGTCGCCATTGTTGTTTCGTTTTCCATCACACAAAGATTTCGTTTGAGATTGTTGGAAATAATGTTACTCCACCAAAGATATTATGAGAACGAATTACAAACAAAATAAAAAATCGAAAGAATTATAGGAGATGAAGGAATGACAAGTATATATATGAAGAAATTGAAGGCTCAAACACAATCTTTGATTGTTGTCCTCAAACGAAATTTGCCCCCACTATTTTGGTGTTTAAAGGGTGATCCGGCAAAAGGTTTGAAGGATTAATCAAGCCTTATAGAGATTCAAACACTAAACACTTGTTTGAATCTCTAAAACTTAAGAACACAAAGAAAAAGATGAATATGAGAGGGTATTTTATTTTTGGATTTGATCTCAAGAAGTATCAATATAATAGGTGTTTTTTCAACATTTTTCAATGACCCAAGATCACCTATTTATAACCAAGTAGTATAGCTTTACGAAGTGGTGCACCTTATGGATGAAAAGCCACCAAAAAACCAACAAAAAACGACCCAACGATCGTTTTTATGTACCATGCGACCGCATGGTACAAACCCATGCAGTCGCATGGTACAACCCTACCGAGACCATTTGGTCTTGGTAGGGTTCCATGCGGTTGCATGGTTTTAGGCCATGCGACCGCATAGCCTAAATTTTTTTTTTTTTTTTTAATTGTTGGTTTTCAACAATCATACCACTTCATAACATTCTGTTCATTCGTAGAACTCCCTTTCTTTTGCTTGTAAAATACCAGTTGGGTGAATGGGAAATAGGTCCAGTGTTTCTTTAGTATTGTCCTTTGCAAAAGACTGGTACTCCCGACCCCTGGTTTATGCTTCTGGGATGCATGAATCTGTTGTACTTTTGACATGCAGGGTGCTTGTTTTTATCGTTATTTTCTGGGATTAGTCTCCTTTTGAAACCTCCATATAGGGGCATCTTTGAGCACTGTTGGTACAATTCTAAATCAGCCTGAGGTGGTGGTTGTCTGAAGCAGGGGCCGCAAACAACTGGAACCAAAACATAAAAATAATTTAAGAAGGTTCAATCACACTTTGCTCCATGGAGAAAAATAAAAAATGTCACAATAAGAATGTAAAAACAGATCATTACTGCATATTAGGGCGTGTTCAGTTTGTTATATTGGACAACACTGCACAAGATTAAACACGAACTATAAAATGGTGGGAATTGAACTAGATAAATACCATTGAGGTTTGGTGGAAAAACTGGGTTTTTAGGGAGAAACCGATTAAAAGAAGCAATATTATCCTGCTTCTGTCCTTGTCTTGTCTTGTGATTCTGAAACCAATATAAAACATTATGGCCCTCAATGTGCCCAGAAGCCTTCAGCCTATTTTTAATCAGCTGAATTTGTTCTGCACCTGGAGTTTTTAAACCCTGCATGTACAAATTCTCAAGTAGGTTTATTTTCTCCTTTGTAGGGTTCCATCTTGACCCTCCTGGCCCATTGACAACATTGCCACCCTCCATTTTAGATACAGAGAGGACTGCAGGTTTAGTACTTATGCATGGTTCTCGAACCCTTTTATAGAGATGAAAAGAATTATTAAATTACTCTAGAAATCGGCCAATGGGATAAATTATGCATATAAGAAGGTAAACAAAGAGTCAAACAAGAAACACAGTCACTTGCGGAGATATGTAGGGATGCATGCGTATAGTTATTGGTGCTGAAAACATGGGAAGAAGCGGCTGAGCGAGGCCTGGTGTTGGTCCTCCTATGGGTGAAACCGAAGGTAAAGGGACAGAAGTAGCTCTATAAGGAAGGGGGGTTATCTTGGGAGTGAAAGAAGAGCAATGCAATAGGTACAGTAATTTTTTTACAGAATTTGTACAGATCAACACTTGATAGATTATCATTGAAAAATGACAAAAATATAAAAGAAAAACAGTCATAGAGGTGCTGCCAACATATAGATTCTTCTTCTTTTTTTCTCTGTAGTTGCAAAATTATTCGTGAAAGAAGGTAAGCAAGTTTAGGATAGTGTCATAGGAGGATAGTAGGGGTAGTTCAGCGAATTAAGGAAAAAGATAGGCGGTTGGGTTTGTAAGGCGTATAGGGACTTTGGAAATTGAGCCTTTGTTTGATCTTTATTATTTTCAAAATATATTTTTTTTCTCTTTTTTCATTCACACATTCTTTAATAAAATAAGGGTAATTAGTATAAAACGTTCTCACCTTTCGATGTTTTTTTGGAAAACTTCCATACCTTTCGTTTTTTGGCAGATTACACTCTCACTTTTACCCTTTTTTTTTGCGCAAAACGTCCTTTTGACAGCTCCCCATTAAAACGTTCCATTAAATCAAAGAGTAATTAGTACAAAAGGTCCCTACTTTTCAATATTTTTGTGAAAAACGTTCCTACCTTTTATTTTTTGGCATAATTAGCACAAAAGGTTCATACCTTTCAATGTTATTGTGCAAAACGTCCATACCTTTCATTTTTTAGTATTTTCACTCCTACATTTCATCTTTCATTGTGTAAAAAGTCCTTTTCATCCGTTTTTCAATAAAATGACGATTTTACCCTCCTATTCAAATAAAAGAAAAAGAAAAGAGAAGAAAAATAATTAATTAATTGCAATCATAGACTTAAATCTTTTAAACATTACAGATAAATTCTAAATTCTCCACTACCGCCACTTTTACAACCCCACCAAGCCTCCACCTATAGATCCATATAGCACCACATTTTGACCACAACACCTATCGGACTCCACCACCACCAGTCTCACCTCACTCTCCCCAATATCCTCCCCCATAGTATTGGTCATCAATCTGTCCGAAACAACCACATTTACGGTGGTGGAGTCCGTTGGGCATGGTGGCCGAAAGGTGGTGTTATGTGGATTTATAGTTGGCAGCTTGATAGGTTGTGAAAGTGGTGGTAATTGAGAATTTATGATGTCTTTGTAATTTCTTAAAAATTTAAGGAATATGGTTGTAGTTGGTAATTCATCTTTTTTTTTTGTTTTATTTGAATAGGAGGGTAAAATCGTCATTTTATTGAAAAAAATGGATGAAAATGACCTTTTGCGTGATGAAATGTGAAAGATAGGGGTGAAAATGCTAAAAAATAAAAGGTAGGGACATTTTGTGCTAATTATGCCAAAAAATAAAAAATAAAGACGTTTTGCACAATAATATTGAAAGGTAGGGATCTTTTGTGTTAATTACCCTTTGATTTAACGGAGCATTTTAACGGGGAGTTGACAGAAGGATGTTTTGCCCAAAAAAAGGTAAAGGTGAGGGTGTAATTCGCCAAAAATAAAAGGTATGGACATTTATCACAAAAACATCAAAAGGTAGGGACGTTTTGTGCTAATTACCCAATAAAATAATATTACATGCAAATTCAAAATTTTTTCTTATTTTTAAATCACACATTCTTGGTCAATATACCATTCCTAAATACATTTATTTAATAAAATGAGGCTCAAATAGGCTCTAAAAATGTTTAAGGGGAGAGAGAGAGAGAAAGAGATATGGAGATAGTTTACGTGAGTTAATTAAGAGTGGGTAATGATCCTCTGGAGGTGGTGAAGAGGAATGCTTTGGTTTTCAAAAGCTGGTTTTGCTATTCAGTTTTACTATACTTATATTATGGTTGACAGAGTTGGTTAGATTTTATGATGTGGTACACAATTTTGTCATTGATTTTAACAACATTTAAAATAATCAGTGGTCTCAATTCTTACACACCATGCAATGTCATTCATGATGTACAAAAGTGATGTACAAATAACTTAATTCTTTGCTATTTTTGCTTGCTCGATTGAGTAGGACTTGCAAAATGGAACAAATTAAGTTGATTCAAGTCGAACTGGTCTGATATGAGCTACTCGCAACATGGGATTTATTTATTTATTATTATTTTTTTCAATCAAGTTGTACCAATCTCACCCTTGAAAGAAAATGCAAGCCTTGCTCATGCCGGGTCAAGAACCACATACCCTCAACTATTTTCTCTTAACTGTTTTTATATTAGGTTGCAGGTCTCAACAATTTGAAACCAAATGATAACAATTCACTTGCTAGGCATACATCTCTTTTTACACGTTGATTTATCGAATTTACACCGAACACAATCTCATACAATCTTTCACATTTAATCCAACTATTATAAATTTGCCGCATCATCCATCAATCAAGTGATAAAAGGAGATGTACAAATAGCTTTATCCATATTACACCCGAAGACCAAAAAGTTATTGATTTCAATATTTTAAGATAATATTGGAGAATATTTGGGGTCTGTTTACTGATCCTTAAACATTGACGACATTACATTTAATTATTTATTGTATAAAGCAATAGCACCTTAACTCCAACTTGGTGAATGTTTGTTTGATTTCGTCATGCTTTTGTGTTGTTCCACTAATCTTTTTCAATGACACTCCAATCAAATTGTTGAATGCATTTTCAATATTGACTGCGTTCATGAATATCTTACCAATGGGAATATTTTATAGAAAAATGCTCTCAGTTTGACGGCCCTCTAATAAAGGTGGGATCCGTAATTAGTTTTACTCATTTGTTTATATAATAATAAAATATTTGCTTATAATCGGTCATCAAGTTGAAAAGTGATACCCTCTTTCAACATATAATGCTATTCATGGGTGATTACAATTTTGCGTGTCTATATGATAATAGAAGTAAGTTACTATTATATTTTTCAATTAACATGTATTCATGTTATATTATGCAAGAAGCATGCTTCAAGTATCACATCACAAGAGTGAACCCCACGATTAAAAAAATCGTGGAGTCCACTCATGTAAGTGGGTTGTCAAGCTGAGTGTACAACAGATGCTGTACGCCCAGCATTTTTCATTCTGCAATGTAAATGCAATTCTACTTTCACATAAATTAATTTTCGTTAGCATTCTCTGTATCAATAGTCTTGGAATCCTTTCTTTAAGTAAAAATAATGAACTCGTCAAATTACAAGGTGTAATTTGTTACGATTCAATTTTAGATTGCAAAATCCCCTCCACTAAAAAATAGTCTATCATCTTTTACAGTTCATTTTTGTTCACTCGTGTTCAAACTTGACCAATTTGAAGTTTTGTTCTATTTTGATGCTTAACCGGTTTGGATTGGAAGAAAAGCAACATGACACGTGTTTGCTTTCAATTTTTTCCAATTGTGGGCCCGCATTAATGAGTGTTGTCGATAATTGTGAAATTTTACTATACATTTAACTTTTTGTAACTGAGACTTTTGTGGTGGTAGTATAATAGCAGTTGTGAGTACTATTCATTAAACGACAGGTGGATTGCACTATTCAGGCTAAATTTATTTTCTCTCTACTTTCACTATATACACATAATGTATCCATGTATCTATTTACTATCCCTATCTTTTGGTATATGTCTTGCAGCAACTGCAAGAAGACATTCAATGAAAATTTTGGAGAAATTTATAAATGTCACTTCTGTAAATATGAACACGCAAAAGCTGTCCCAATATAATTTTTACCATTAAACATAAATTCAAATCTTTAATAACATTATTTCTTCATTAACACAATACATAATGCATAATTGGGAAAAACCCCATTTATAGGGCAAAAGCTTTTATTCACCTTAAAGACAAATCTAGATTGTTAGATGCAACCATCATAGGATACGTAGCAGAGGCACTACTGGAAATTAATGTCATTGCCATGATGGACCATCTTCAAAGTGTAAAACATTAGTTCTAACATCCTCCAATGATGCTTTCTTCAAAACACTATGACATAATATTGAAACATATATTGTATCAGCGACGGGAACCAAATACAAAACTCAACGTCATGAATATTGAAAATGATATAGAACTACTCTATTACCTAAAGGTGACAAAAAAACCCCACAACCTAACTGAGTACCGTTTTGAAATCATATTCATATTCAACTTGTCAACAGCAATCACTAATAGCAATGCTTCAACTACAATTATTGAAATAAACCCTTCAACTATTACAAGTGATGTAAACAATGCTGCAGAAACGAACGAAGATTGTACAAAGATACAAAATGCAGAAAGAAGATGTAAAACCAAGCAAATGAAGTTTCCAAAGACACAAAAGAGATCACTCCACAAAATGCAAAAAGGTCTATCTTCCAACCATCGAATGTAACTATTAAAATAGACTCAAAATCCAAAAAGAAGACTCACATAGGCTACAAAATCGATGACCAAACCAATGTCCTCACCTTAAAAGAAAAACATGAACGAAAACTTTTTATGGAACCTAATGGTAAGTCTTCAGTTGAAAGTCTACCGAATAGCAATAAATTACTACTTTTGACATTAAGAGGTTCTTGTAAATATTTTAATTCCCTTTTTATCCTTCCGAGTACAAACACTGTAAACTATGATCGTATCATACTTATGTAATTACTACCAATAACATATGAATCCATGATTCATAGTTAAAAAATAGACTCAAGTATCATAATTCACCCTAAACATCCTCATTATGTTAACAGTATTATAATCTATTAAACATATGTTTCAAATCATTAGTATATTGAACAATTCTATTCATAACTTAATATCATAAATAACTTACCTCATTTTATTACCTTTATAACTAATTGATTTCTTCTTCAATCACTAAACTCATATCAACTTTAAAAACGCTAACATCACATTGAAAATAATCCAACCCGTGCATTGCACGGGTGGCAAACTAGTGTAGGAAAAAGACGTAATTTTGAGAGCAAGCTGCAAATTACCAACTATTAATGGACTAGAAGTTGAAACTTTAGCATTCAACCGTGGGTCATTGGACTCAAAGGTACGTGTTTGGTAAGCTTATAATATTTACTTATAAGGAAGTCTACAAGTAAATTTCTGCAGTCATGAACGATGAGTTCAAGACTTTATCAAATAAAATAGTGGGTTGATTTAGAGTGGGGGCAGCACGTACGATTGTTTTGAATATGAGCATGAAAGAATATAGTTGTAGCTGAATGCGATTCGCTAATCCCAAAAAGTTTTGAGACAATTTTTTTTTACACTAAAATTGGAGTAATTTAATTTCATCATATATTGAATCGTTATTTGCTTATGTGAGGAAATGTGACTCTTCTTGTTTTTCACTTGACCCGATTAGATTTGGTGCTGATTTTAATTAGTGTAATCATAATTGACTAACAAAAGGATTACTTAATTGAAACTAGTTCTTATTTTGAAATAAGTAAATCTTTTTTATGAGAAAAAACAACTTATTCCCAGCCAAACACAGTCAAACCAAACTAGTCGCGACAGAAACCATTTAAGACCCCAAACGAAAAAGACTTCACTAAACAAAACTCAAAAAACTCTGAATCCCTCCCTGTAAGATCTCGTCTTCTTCAATAATCCGCTGACAAAGAACCATAGATTGGGCTAAACTAACCTACTCCACCACCTAGAACCACCGCCCGCCACCACCTATATGCTAATTCCACCGTCACTTTCCGCGTCCCCGATTGCAAAACGTCTCATTTCAATTATTTCTTTCGATTTTGGGGTTGATGTTCTCCATCTGTAAATCCAAGAAGAAAATGACCGCAGAAGTCATTGAACACTCAACCAGACCAAAATCATCATCACCGAGAAAATCCAAGAAATCCCAACAATCTTCAATAGAAAACTCATCAACCAGCACCAACAATTTCATGATCCCAAGCACAGCATCCACCTCGAGCTTCTATAAAGATTCATGGCAATCCTCGTTATCTAGCCGTACTTCTCTTTCAAGCCTCCGAGAATCCGTCCTCCGCTCCGTTTGGTAGGGATTTTTTGACCGATATTTTACTATTCAAACCGTAATTTTTGACTTCTTCTCTCACATGTGGACCCCACTTTTCTTTTAACGATAAAAAAATTAATTCTCAAAATCCCTACCAAACAGGAAATCTTTTTTACGAGAGAAAACAACTTATTCCCAGCCAAACACAGTCAAACCAAACTAGTCGCGACAGAAACCATTTAAGACCCCAAACGAAAAAGACTTCACTAAACAAAACTCAAAAAACTCTGAATCCCTCCCTGTAAAATCTCGTCTTCTTCAATAATCCGCTGACAAAGAACCATAGATTGGGCTAAACTAACCTACTCCACCACCTAGAACCACCGCCCGCCACCACCTATATGCTAATTCCACCGTCACTCTCCGCGTCCCCAATTGCAAACGTCTCATTTCAATTATTTCTTTCGATTTTGGGGTTGATGTTCTCCATCTGTAAATCCAAGAAGAAAATGACCGCAGAAGTCATTGAACACTCAACCAGACCAAAATCATCATCACCGAGAAAGTCCAAGAAATCCCAACAATCTTCAATAGAAAACTCATCAACCAGCACCAACAATTTCATGATCCCAAGCACAGCCTCCACCTCGAGCTTCTATAAAGATTCATGGCAATCCTCGTTATCTAGCCGTACTTCTCTTTCAAGCCTCCGAGAATCCGTCCTCGCAGAACAGCCCCACATCTATGATTTTTCGGAAATTTCCGCCGCAACTCGCAATTTCTTACTAAAGCCGTCCACTTCATCCTCCTCGTCCACTTCTTGGCGGTGCAGTGTGCGCAATCAGGATGTAATTGTTTTCCAGCGGAAGTTCCGGCGCCAATTGGACACCCAGCAGTTAATAGGTCATCTTTCTGTTATTTGCAAGAGTCATCACTCCAGTTTGGTGAGATTAAAAGGGGTTTCAATTTCCGGCAATTATATATACTTGGTTTATGATTATATTTCTGGGGCTAGTCTTGCTGATTGTTTGAGAAATGTGAAAAACCCAAATTTTACTGTGTTGTCTAGCTGGATTTCGCGTATTCAGATTGCTTCTGATGTTGCTCATGGCCTTGACTATGTTCATAATTCGACTGGATTGGGTTTTGAGTTTGTGCACAATCATATAAAGAGTAGTAGTGTTATTGTTACAGAGACGTCCTTAAATGCGAAAATATGCCATTTTGGTACTGCTGAGCTTTGTGGTGAAATTGTGAGAGAGACTGGGAAGTTGAAAGAGCTGAAGAGATCAGATAGTAAGATGAACAAGTTCGAGGGGACTAGGGGTTACATGGCGCCAGAATTTCAGATAAGTGGGATTGCAACGCAGAAATGTGATGTGTATGCATTTGGGGTTGTGGTTCTGGAGTTATTGTCCGGGATGGAGGCATTGAGTTATAGGGTTGATGAGGAAACTGGAGCTTATGTGAGGACATCGGTGGTAGAGGTGGCTAGACAGGCGGCGGAGAGTGGTTATGGAGGGATAAGGAAGTGGGTCGACAGGAGGTTGAAGGACTCTTTCCCGGTGGAGGTGGTGGAGAAATTGACGCGGCTGGCGCTGGATTGTGTTGCGGATGATCCAGGAACCCGGCCAGATATGGGCCAGGTGGCTGGTCGAATATCACAAATGTTTTTGGAATCACAGAAATGGGCTGAGAAGATGGGCGTGCTTACAGATTTAACGGTCTCTTTGGCACCCCGGTGACACCCAATCGAATGCTTTTGCATTTCATTCTTCTCCTTTTTTTGGCCTTTGGATTTTGTATGCATGTACATGTATAGATATAGATACACATGTAGTTTACAAGAGCTTTCATTCATTTTCCAAGTTATCATTCTTTTCTCAAACATCTATGAAAATTGATTGTATTAAAATTTAACAAAACATATTAATGAGAAGACAGCTTACATGCTTTTGCTTTACCATTGGTGAAGTCCTTTTGGTTCAATACTAGTTTGAAGATATATTAGTATTCTGTTAAACAACTTCTTGGTCGTGTTTGAATGTTTAAGGAAGATATGGTGAACGTTGAACAATGCCCTCGAGGATTTCTACTGGCCGAGCTATGTTCATGAAAGACCAAATGGAAAGCAACTCTAATACACACACTGTCAAATTACCTGAGGTAAGTGATGATTCAATGAACATTTCTTCTGAATTATAAATACCATTTTATGACCCCCTCTCCCACCCATCCCCTCCCCTCT